TTTCACCTACTTTTGCAAGAATTCATTGCACGTGTCCCTACTAAAGCTTACCAACTACCCACAGATTAAATTTTGATTTTAGAATTATGTTTTTCCTAATTAACTAAATTTAGTAATTTCATCCTAATGGAAAAAGTAAACATCGAGATAGAATTCAATAAATAGTCAGGAATCCAGATTTTACAAATTAATATTGTTTTAAAAATCGAACCGAGTTAGCTGTTATTTTTCATCCCAGTTTCTACCTTTCCGATTTGTCTCTAGCTTAACTTTGGCTTGATTAACATATCTTAATAATTTATGTAGGTATTATTTTGTAATGTTTTTATTATATTCAACTTCAAGTTATAACTCAGGTTGATAATATTAAAGATTGAATTTATACGTTAATCATTTATACAATTAAATATTAAACTATATTATTAATTCGGGAACATTAGGTTCTGGGAAAAATAATTAATAATAAGTATGGAATACATTAAAATAAAATTACTCATTAAAATTAAGAAGTTACAAATTCGATAATTACAAATTAAGAAGAAATTAGCACTTGAACGAGTGTAATTTAGTGTAAATCTTTGTATTATATGTATTTTACAAACTTGTTTGGCACGTCACATTTGAAATAATGCACCAATAATTCATAAATTGGAAACGGTATATAAAATTCGATTAATTATTGAAGCATTAGTTTTGTCCAAATTGACGATCAGATTAGATTGAGTACAAGTATTACAACAAAAACATATCCAGTAGGTAAAAAATGAATAGAAACCAAAATTATCATTGCAAGGGATAACTTCAATATTCCACTTGCAATTTTGATAAAAACATTAATATGAGAAAAATACTTAAACTACATGAAATCTCAAAAAACATAATGAAGGAAAATTCTCATTCAACACATCATCTGTTGATAAATCAATATGTTAGTTTGATGTACACGTAACACAATCGTTACTCAATAGTCCTCACCCCAAGCCGTGTTTTAATTATTAACAACAAAAACTCTTTTAATATTTATTTTATTTTGTATTGTATTGATGTGTTTTAATTAGTTTTTTTCCAGCTCATTTAAAATAAAATTACAAATCAATCCATGTGCTTATTGATTTTGTCAACTAAGTAGACCAAATCAATTTTGCTACTGTTGGATCCATGTAACAAGGAAACTCATGTTGACAAATAAGAAAATCAAATAAACAACAATTATACAAAATTCCTGTTGGAAAATATATTATTTG